CCCTGATTGCACTTTCAGCCTTTATGCCACACGTTTTCTACATGTGCTGCTATCTCCCCCACCCCACCCCGGCCCCCCAACCACAAGCTTTGTTGACGCCTTCAACTCCGCTTCCCATTCCCCATTGGGACCCTTAAAGGCTAGGATTTGGGGAAGTCCCACCTTGGCAGACTGTTTTGACTTTGGGAAGATGGGCCATGCCCAGAACTGGAGGGTCTCCCATGCAGACAGAGCATTCTCCAGGGTTTAATCCAGAGGAGACCTGATGCAGGGGAAGGTGGGGGAGCTTTCGAAACTCTTCCCTAACGTTCCCCATCTCCACAGATGCTTAACCTGCCCCCCCCCCGGCCTCCCCTTCTTTCCCAACCCCTTTGCAAGGCCACCTTTCTCCCTCTCCTCCTCAAACGGTGGAAACTTGCCAGCTGCTCCCTGTGAGACACTACGGCACCTAGAATTCCCAGCCCGAAGGCCCTAGGCCCATCTTCTCCCATTTCTTTTCAGCCTGAGGGCTAGAAAAGGTACTGAAACATAAGGTCCCCAAAAGTGCATGGGGAAATCCTCTTTGTATCCGCTGGCATCTGCTGCCTTCTCTGACCGTGGGCACGGATGACAAACGGCCCTTTGGATGGATGATGGATAGATAGACAGGGCTGGGTTGGAGCCTTTCCGCCCCCTTTTCAATTTTTCTGGCGTCGGCTGACCTACTTCTCTCGGCCACAGGCTTGGCTAGTCTGTATGCCATGGGACTGGTGTTGGCCACCTGGCTTTGGCCCGTGGACAGGAGCTCAGCAAGCAAAGCAGAAGGAGCCGAAGGAGGCGTTTCTGGCAACCGCGTCCAAATGTGAGTCCCCTGCCCCATCTTCCTTCTACCACCAGGCTAAGGAATCATTTTTTTTTTCCAAAAAAAAAGTCAGACATGGGAGGGGTGTGTGTGTGTGTGTGTTGTAGAGGCCTTGTGCTTTCCTTAACTCGGCCTTAAAAAAATACTGTCAAAGAAATTGCCATGTCACAGAGTTCCTGCCAAGAACAACTGGAGCGCCAGAACGCTGGCTCAGAGCCGAGGGGAGGATGCGCAAAGTTGGCCTTTATGAAAGAGCCAAACTGCTTTTTGGGAACGGCAGAAGTTTGAGAATCTTTTCTTTTCCACCCTGCAGCCTCTCCGTCCTCTCCTGCTACGGCTGGTGGGTCTGTGGATGTGGGTGGACCTGGAGGTTGCTTCTGGTGGTCGTTCGGTCTCAAAATGTTAAGGATGATGGAACTATATCACTAATTTAGCTCTGAGAGCCTCCTGGCTGGCTTTGGACCAAGCCATCCTGTTGGTTGTTGGTTGTGGGTTAGTGTGTCATGTGAAGCCAGGTTGTGTGGTGATTGAAAAGAAATCTTTGCCCAAACGAGGCTCGGTGGAATGCACAAGCACGATCGACTCTGCTTGACTGGGAAATAGTAAGGATCGATGAAGGTGGAAGAAGGTGTGCTATTTATCCATGAGATGGGCGACTATATCCATTTGATAAATAAAATTTAGAATTTCTACCCAAGGGAGGAGATCAAGAGTGTATCGGCGATCCCCCGATGTTGCTGGTATGCAGTTCCCAGAATCCCCCACAGTTGCCCAGCTGGCTAAGATAGTTGGAAGTTGTCATTTGAAACTTCTTGAAGAAAGCTGGTTCTCTGCCTAGTTCTCAATGTAGCTGATCTGTAATCTCATGATCTTTAACCAATGAGTATGCAAGGTGGGATATTAACAAATAAATGAAGGAAAATGCCAGATCCTTCTGTTTACAGAGCTGGGAACTGAAAAGGGGAAATACAATATGCCTAGGTTGTCGAGGAACGATGCTCCCAAGGTCATACATTCTAAGCCAGTGTTTCTCAACCTTGGCAACTTCTTCAATCTTGTTGTGTCACATTTCCCCAATTTTACCCCCCACCCACATTTGGGTCAGGGGTCTTGTGCATGGCAGACATCTTA